ATTGTTCAGATGTTACAAATTTATTAGCTGCCTAAGGGATGCTGGGAAATGTAGTTCAAAAGGATTATGTGGGTTCCAGTCTTGTACTGTGATAGCAAATGTGTTTGCATTTGAAGGGGGAAAATGGTTTTAAGTCAGTGGTTCTCAACCTGTGAGTTGGGACCCTTTTGGGGGTCGAACGATCTTTTCACAGGGGCCGCCTAAGACCATCAGAAAAAATATTTTCAAAAAAAAATACAGAAAACATAAAATAATTTTATGGTTGGGGGTCACCACAACGTGAGGAGGAACTGTATTAAAGGGTCACGGCATTAGGAAAGTTGAGACCCACTGTTTTAAGCCCTTCTGAATGCCAGCTCTGAGTCTGATCAACTGATCATAATTTTTTTTCTAAATTTAGGTCTGCGCTGAGGCTAAACCATATAAGAAATCTAAAAACATTGACAGTAATATATTTTTCCCTATCAATGTGATACTGTATAGTGAATGCTATGTAACTGTTCCACAGGAATCCTTTGTGATACATTTGGCTTCAGCAACATGTCTGTCTGTGAAGATATGCTTCTTTGCAATTATCGCAAATGTCGAATCACACTTTCAGGCTATGCGTGGGTCACGGCCTGCTCACATATCTTCTGTGACCAACATGGTAGTGGAGAGTTCAGTCGATCGCCAGCAGTCTGTCCCGCTTGTGCCAGTGCCTTGTCTGGCAAATTGGACATTGTTCGGATAGAGCTCAGTCCTTCAGAAGAATATAAAGCCATGGTATTAGCTGGGTTGCGCCCAGAAATTATTCTGGATATCAGTTCTAGGGCTTTGGCTTTCTGGACATATCAGGTAAATTGTATCCAGTAATGGCAGTTTGAGTCAGAAAGAATTCTTTACTTAAAACACTAGCTGGGTATCTCGCTCCTAAGTATATTTAGTCTGAATGTTTGTATCATTTTTATTGTTTTTAAAGGTTTTCAGCATTTTTAATTGTAATACACAAACGCAAACACACTTTTGTTTTTAATTGTAAACCAAGCATAGTCATTGATTGAGATAGATGGCTGTAGAAATGGAAAAAGATGGATGGATGGATAGATAGATAGATAGATAGATAGATAGATAGATAGATAGATAGATAGATAGATAGATGTAGGATTGAGAATCTCCATAGACACATAGAATGCTGTATTGTAATGCTGTATTACAAAAGTAATTTCATCCAAATTTGCCCAAGACTTACTCCTTTCTACAGGTAGTCCTTGACTTACAACAGTTTTTTTAGTGACTCTTCAAAGTTACAACAGCACAGAAAAAGTGACTTATGACCATTTTTCACGATTACAAGCTTTGCAGCATCCCCTTAGTCATGTAATCAAAATCCAGACACTTGGCCATGTCCCAAGATGACATAATTCCCCTTTGCGACCTTCTGACAAGCAAAATCAATGGGGAAGCCAAATTCACCTAAATACCACCACTCACTTGACATCTGCAGTGATTCACCTAGCAACTGTGGCAGGAAAGGTCATAGAATGGGGCAAAACTCGCTTAACCCACGTCTCACTTAGCAGCATAAATTTTGGGTGCAATTGTGATCGTAAGTCCAGGTCTACCGCTACTTATTCTTTAATACCTATGTAGGTCCACCAAGAGCGTTTGTATCAAGAATACACCTACAGCAAAGCAGAGGGTTGTCTGAAGCAAATGGAGACAGTCTACACCCAGCAACTCCAGAGCAAAGATATGGAGCTGACGTCTATGAAGAGTGAAGTCTCTTCCTTAAAGAAAGTATTGGAGGAATACAAAAAGAAATTCACCGAGCTCTCAGAGAAACTCATGGAGCGTAATCGTCAGTATCAAAAACTGCAGGGCTTGTATGACAGCCTGAGATTACGGAATATTGCTCTGGCCAATCAGGAGGCAGGCCAAGAGCCTCCCATGATGCCTCCGCCTGGTGTCTTTGGTTTCCCTCTGGGTAAGAATGGCGACTTTTAATATGATCCTTCACAAGCACTTCATGAGCCGCGGTGGCGCAGTGGTTAGAGTGCAATACTGCAGGCTACTTCTGCTGACTACCAGCTGCCTGCAATTTGGCAGTTCAAATCTCACCAGGCTCAAGGTTGACTCAGCCTTACATCCTCTCTGACTCTATAAACTGCTTAGAGAGGTTTGTAAAGCACTCTGGAGCAGTATATAAGTTTAAGTGCTGTTGCTATTGCCATGGTGAATAATGCTTGGATGTAATCCATGCACACACAGAATTATTAAAATGACATGGGACCGCTAAGGATGCTAGACATTAGACAAATATGTAGCAAGTATTGTATACAATGTTGTGCTATTAATAACTTACCAAACGTATCTGGCTTTCCTAGCAGATATTATTTTGAATCTAAGCTATTTTTAAACAATCTGAATACTAAGTGTTTCCAGAATAAATATGTTGCCAATTGATATTTGTATATTTTCTCTTACAGAGCAAATTGCTTTGAGAGTTTAATTTAAATTGGAAAACAGTGAAGAAAGATTTCTGCAACTTCTCCCTAGCATCACAGTTCTGATTCCTGCCACCTGTAGCTGTAATATGGTTTACTTTAAAAATAAAGAGAGATTCTGATTAAGAATCTCCGATTTAAGTGTAATCTAGCCTTTATTATGGGCATGTATGTAGCTAACATTGCCATTTTTTTTACAGGGGAGGAAATTTAAACCCTTCTCTAATACCAAGACTTTCACTCACATCTTCTAGGTAACTCTGCCAGACTCTCTAGGAACACTACACCTATCCAGGGCCGGCGTGGTGAAGGGGACTTCAATTTCAAACCCATCTTTGCCTCCTCTCCACCCATGGCTGAGTCTGCCAAGAGCTTCTTTTCCTTTACCTCTCCGGACAATGATTTGGAACACCACACAGGAGGCAGCAGAGCTTATAAAATTAAGAGAATGTAAACCCTAACGTGCATTTCAATTTCATTGCAGAACCTCCTGAAAACCCAGTTCCGTATTTATGGGCCCGAAGTTTCAATATAAACAAAATGTCAATGCTCGAAACCAGATTTTCATTACATCAGTGAATGTCAAATATTTTCCAAGCCATGTCATGCGTTAAAGCAAGTGAGGGACACCTCGCAAAGTCAATATTTTTTTTGGAATGGTTAGATAGTACAATGGGTTACTGTAGTTTACATGTACATGAGTTCGTTACATTCTTGTCATTGTTGTGTCACATAGCAACCTCCTTGTAAACACAATCGTTCTGATACATTCTCAGTGATTTAATTATTGTGCATTATGATTCAGTTTAATTAGTGCTCAAATTGCTTATTCTAACAAATGTGTTATAATGTTTTAACCCATTGATGACTGTTTTCAACTCTCACATCTTATAGTAGCATGTTTTCTTCAATGGGTGCATAAATATATTTGCAAGGATTTGTTTCTTTTGTTCATTGCTACTTGTAAACAAAATCATATGGAAGGGAAGATATTACCTGCACGTATACATTTTCATTGGTATAAATATCTGTGGATATCCTTTTTCTGTTTTGTGATTAAGCATTAAGTGCTTTTCTGGTCCTCAAAAAAATAATCCTCCTCCTTCTCTTCCTCTTTTACCGCTTGGATGTCGAGGGAGAATCATTTTATTAATTTCTTTAAGTGGACCTAAATTATGAAGACTATGTTGCTTCAAAACTTCATCTGTTTGATAAATCAGATCATTGGATTACAATCGTCCATATGATTTTCTCTATGTTGAATTGTAACATGTAGAACATCTCAAATGGGCCTTAAATTAGTAATGATTATTAAATTCATTTATTTTAATGGATTTATGCAATCCATAAATGAAAATCTTGATCTCATTCTATTTCATTACATCACTTTGTACTTACATTTCTAGAATCACCCCGATCAAAGGAAAGTTAAGATGGGCAAAATGGACGATTAAAAAGCATTTACTGCTTAAAATGAAATCTCACAAGAGTGGGCTGTGCATATGGACATGGAGACATGGACAGTGAGGGAATTTATTTAGATATTTGTATCCTGCCTTTATTATTTTACAAGCAACTCCAAGTGGTGAACACACACACACACACACTTTTATTCCAATTTTATTAATTCCAACTTTATTAATTGAAGGGGTTATTAAATAACCCCCTTGTTCAAGCAGGAGCTCCTATCTATACCATTTCAGACAAATTGCTATCCAATTCTCTTTTTAAAAACCTCCAGGGATGTGTTTGTTTTTTTAAAAAGAATTTTGGGAGTTGAAGTCCACTCAAACTGCAGAGGTTGAGAAACACCGATCTAAGTAGGATTCTTGGTTAGAAATACTCTCCAGAAGTTTGTGAGTGCTCCAGCGTTGGAGGTTTTTAAGAGGGAGAGATTGGACAACCATTTGTCAGAAATGGTAGGGCCTCTTGCCTAAGCAGGGGATTGGACTAGAAGACCTCCAAGGACCCTTCCAACTCTGTATTCTATTCTATTCTGTTCTATTTCATATTCTCATTCCATTATTTTCCTTATTCTACTTGAAAAAGTAGGCTAAGGATTTTCCCATGGTTGCTAAGTGAATCGGTGCTATCATTAAGCAAATCCATTGACTTTGCTCGTTCAGAAGCCAACAAATGGCGATCAGATGACCCCCGGGATGTTTCGACCCTTCTAAATACATGCCAAGCGCTCACATTTTGATCAAATAAAGGGGGGGGGGGTGTACTTTAATGCTGATAAATGTTGGACCATTTACAAGTGACTTTTTTCACGGCTGTTATCATTAGCCTGAGCAGCGGGGTCGGACTACACGACCTCTAAGGTCCCTTCCAACTCTGTTATTGTTCTTATGAAAAAAATAAAACTGGTAAGTGACTGTCTCCCCTTAAGGCCGAAAGGCTCTTCCTCCCCGCTCCTTGTGGTTTGCTCCGAGTCCTCCGGGCCTTTAGAGGCCTCTACCTCCCTCCGTGCTTGCAAGGCGGAAAGAGAGAGGGAGAAAAAACAGGAAAGGGAGGGCGGAGGCTGCAGCGATCATGGCCGAGGACGAAGAAGAAAACTCGCAAGCCCGGCAACGTTTGCAGGTATGACGACGACTAAAAGAGGTTGTTCTCTTCCCTTCTGCGTTTTAAAGCCGCGATTTAAATAATAATAATGATTAAAAAAATGCCCGCGCCTCTGTTCTGGGGAAGGGATGGAGCAAAGCTCCAGAGCTTTCCCCGATTTATGCAGGCAGGTAAAAGTAAGCGAGTTGGGCGCGCAAACCTAAGTGGCGTTTTAAGAAGCCGCGGACGAGCAAAAGAAAAAAGAAGCTTCATCTAAATTGACGCCATTTATGCCTTTTCCTGGTTTAGTAAATTTAGACAATGTGGGTGTAGTTGGCAGTGGGTGAAGTAGGCAGAGTGGTTTAGAAGTTGAAATAGACGTAGAAAGGGACTTGCAAGGTGTGTATGCACTCCTGCTTTGCTTGCAGATATTTGTAGATTTTCCTAGTTTTTTTCCTTAGATTCCCAAGATGTTAGAATTATCAGAGAAATCTACTCTTAATTGCTGCGTCGGGAGTGAGCCCTCGTTTCAAGCCTTGGAGCAAAGATTTCTGGGTTAATCTGTGGCTATTCCATGAAGAGAGATTAAATGTTGGTTAGGTTTGCTACCTAAAAATAGTGGTTCTGTGTGCTGCAGACCATAGTTTAAATTAACTTTTCTCCTTCCTCAAAAACAATTTATGCTTGGCTGAGTAAGGAACATTAAATTTCGATTTACCTGATTGTATTTTGAATTTTCATATATATTTATCTGTCAACATAGTTTTAAGTATGTTATCAGTGGTGCTGCCAAGTTTGTGTGGAATGGGCACAATACGTTTCAAATTGGGCAATTACATTTTAGCTTAGAGGCTGATAAATGCTTTGTTTATGGTATGCAATTTATGGTATATTTATAGTATGTGTATAGTATTGCTGGAGGAACATTGTCCATGGGGTCGCAATGGATTGGACACAACTTCACAACTAACAGCAACAAAATGGTATGCAACCTGGGTTTGCCAGTTTGGCAATTGCATCGCAAATGTCAGTGCATTTTGTATCAGCAATATTGGGAGATCTGATAGTATTTATCTATCTATGAATAGGAATTGGTCGACCACCTCTATCATTTCCGAGATCACTATTTCGAGAATCACAGTGTGGAAGATGCTGGGAAAAAGCAACAGGATGTTCAGGAAGAGATGGAGAAGACTCTTCAAAAAATGGAAGCCATTGATGGTAATTCACACATGACTTTAATTTTTGCATCTCCATCTTAAGACATACGTTTTGTTTCATTTCTAGATTCTCCCAAATATACTGATCCGTCCCAGTACTTATGAGGGATGCGTTCATAGAATTGAAAATGTTTGATTCTAGTATAGGGGTATCCAACTCGCATGGTCACGTGACACAGCACGACTTTTTCTCCTTCACTAAAATGGGTGGGCGTGGCCAGCGCATGACATTCCTGGTTTATTACTTTGAGAAAAGGGGAAGTTGTAGGAACAGACCAGGCAGAACTGTGGGTGGAGTTAAATGCATCATCAGTTTAGAATCTTTGCGTTGTCTCAAGTCCAACCCTCTGGGAATTCCGCTGACCCTTATCTAGTGTCAATGTAGTGCTGACCAGATTCTGGTTTATAGACTTCAATAAATAATTTATGCAGCAGTCTACATGAATGGTCCTGATTCTTTACACTTGACACAAGTAGATCTGACAAATAATTATAGTATAATCCTTCCCCCCCCCCCAAAAAAAAAGTCCACTCCCAAGATACCAAAATTGTGTTCATTTCAGCATTTTGATATTGCGATTCTTCATTATTTGGCTACCAGAAGTCTTTGTTTGTTTATTTTAATTATTTATTTTAAAAAATGTGTGTGCGCCCCCCCCCCCCCTTTCTTGAAAGAACTCTGGGCACCCAGAATGACAGGAAAAAGCATAAAAACCATAGAACAGCGATGGCGAACCTTTTTGGGCTCGCGTGCCATAAGGAGGGGAGCGCAGGGGGGGGCGTGCGTGGGCATGCCACACCCATAATGCAACGTGTGATCTCCCCAGTGTGCATGCGTACATGAGAGACGCTCTCCCCCCCCCATTTTTTGCATGCTTTTTTTGCCCTCCCCAAGCTCCAGAGGCTTTATAGGAGCCTGGGGAGGATGAAAAAAGCCTCCCTTGCCCCCCCCCCCCCCGAGGCCCTCCAGAGCTTGTAGGGTCAGTTTAAGGCCTCCGGAGGCTTCAGAGACCTTCAGGAGGCTTCCCTGAAGCCTCCAGAGGACTAAAAAGGACCCTACGAGCAAACCGGAAGTCACTTCCGGTTTGCTCATAGGGCTGGTTTAAGCCCTCTGGAGGCTTCAGGGACCCTACAAGTAAACCGGAAGTGACTTACGGTTTGCTTGTAGGGTTGTTGTTAGTCCTCCGGAGGCTTCAGGGAAGCCTCCTGGAGGTCTCTGAAGCCTCTGGGGGCCTTAAACCGACCCTAAAAGCAAACCGGAAGTCTGTTCCCGAACGTCTGGTTTGCCCTTGGGGCTGGTTGTTTGTGCTCCGGAGGCTTCAGGGAAACTCCTGAAGCTTCCGGAGGGCCTCAGGTGGGGGGGGGAGGGAGGCTCTTTTCGTCCTTCCCAGGCTCCTATAAAGTCTCTGGAGCCTGGGGAGGCGAAAAATAGCTTTAAAAAAGGCTGAACTAAGCTAGCCAGCGCGTGCATGCAATAACATATGGATGAAATTTCTCTCTTTCTCCTCCACTTCTAGGTTTATCAGAAGGGAGATCTTACATTTTGATGCTTAAGGGGAAAGCTTTGAATGTATCAGCAGACTACAATGCCCAGTCTGAAGAATTGCTTTCCAAAGCTGTCAAGCTGGACCCGGAATTGGTGGAGGCGTGGAATCAATTAGGCGAGGTTTACTGGAAAAAGGGTGATGTCTCTGCAGCACATACTTGCTTCTCCGGAGCACTCGGACACGTAAGGTTCTCCCTAAGTTCTCTTGCTATCAAATCGTTCTTTTGTGTGAAGGATTGTTTGGAAAACACTGACTGTTCTAATGGCATAAGAGCCGCGGTGGCGCAGTGGTTAGAGTGCAGTACTGAGGGATGCTTCTGCTGACTGCCAGCTGAATGCAATTGAGCAGCTCAAATCCCACCAGGCTCAAGGTTGACTCAGCCTTCCATCCTTACCAGGTGGGTAAAATGAGGACCCAGATTCTTGGGGGCAAAAGGCTGACTCTGTAAACCACTTGGGGGGGGGGGGCTGTAAAAACACTATGAAGCAGTATATAAGTAATTGCTATTGCTATTCTGTAGATCAAATAAAATACCTTCCAGAAGAAAAAAAAATACAGAAAGTCCTCGTCTTATGACCGCAATAAGCCCCAAATGTCTGTCGCTAAGCAATACAATGCTTAAGTGAGTTTTACACCATTTTAACACTTTACAGCTGCCAAGAAGGGAATCACTGCAGTTGTTCAGTTAATAAAACAGTTATTTAGTGAATCCGGCTTCCCCATGGACTATGCTTGTTGGAAGGTCGCAAAAGAGGATCCCATGACCCCGGGACATTGTAACCGTCATAAATAGGAACCATTTGTCAAGTATCTGAGTTTTGATCATGTGACAAAGGGGATATTGTGATGGCCATAAGTATGGGTCACTTTTCACTGCTATTGTAACTTCGAAGAATTGCTTGCAAATCTAGGACTATCTATGTTGCAAACAATAATTTGGGTACACATGGATAGTAGTCCCCGACTTAGAACCAGAATTGAGACAGGAATTTCCATTGCTAAGCATGGTGATTGTTAAATGAGTCACAGGAAATTTTGTAACCTTTCTTGCCATCGTTCCTAAGCAAATCACCGTAGTGTTAAGTGAATCACGTTAAGTGAATCATGCGACAATCCAACTTCCCCATTGGCTTGCTTGTTGGGAATGTCACAGATGGCAACCACATGAGACTACAACTACAGGCAGTCCTTGGCTTAAAACAGTTCATTTAGTTGCTTAATGACTCCATAATCCTTTGCGGGGTGGAGTCCAGGCAATTGAATGGAACTGAGTGTTTACTGCCCTTCCTGTTGCCGATGCGGAGTTTGCAACAGATATATTTCAGCCTCTACTTAGGATCGAACTCAAAGCCTCCTGATTGTGAGTTCCACCTTTAGGCCACCACACCACTCAAAACAGTTCATTTAGTGACCATTCAAAATTACAAGGGCATTGCAAAAAAAAGTGACATGATCATTTTTCACACTTAACAACCCGTTGCAGCCTCCTCCATCATCAGGTGATCAAAATTCAAACGCTTGGCAGCTAGTTCATATTCATGACGGTTGCAGTGTCCTGGGGTCGCATGATCAACTTTTGCGAGGTTCTGAGAAGCAAAATCAATGGGGAAGCCAGATTCATTTAACAACCGTGCGACTAACTTAACAGTTATTTGCAGCGATTGTCTTAACAACCGTGGCAAGGAAGGTCACAAAATGGGACAAAACTCACTTCGCGAATGTTTCCCTTTGTAACAGAAATTTGGGACTCAATTGCGGTCCTAAGTCGAGGAGCTACCTGTATTGTAATTACATGCCAGTTGCCAAGCACTTGAATTTTGATCACGTGACGGGTGACAGTGGGGATGCAACGGTTGTAAATGCGAGGACGGGGTCATAAGCCATTCCTCCCCCTCCCAATGCTCTGTAATTCCAAACAATTGCTAAATGAATGGTCAGAAAAAACGGGTGCTTTGGAGACTATCCCCCAAAAATTCGGGTTGGAATTTCATGCTTAAAAATAGTATTTCTTGCTGTTTTTAAAAATCGAGCATTTTTGCACCCAGAAGAGTGAAAAATCCTGATGCCGTGGTCAGGAAAATGGGTTCTTTGGAGGCCCAAGTTTTTTTGAGCACAAATTCAAATACAGACGATGGGACGAGATTCGGGGATGAATTTCATGCTTAAAAATGGTATGTATTGCTCTTATTAAAAATCGAACATTTATGCACCCAGAAAAGGAAAAATCCTGATGTCACTGTCAGAAAAATGGGTGCTGTGATCAGAAAAAAGGATGCCTCTTTGAGGCCAAATTTTTTTTGAGCCAAAATGCAAAAATGATGACGGGACGAGATTCGGGGTGGAATTTTGTGCTTAAAAATGGTATTTAAAAATCGAGTGTTTTTGCACCCAGAAGAGGAAAAATCCTGACGGGGCAGTCAGAGAAATGGGTGCTTTGGAGACCAAATTTTTTTGGGGGGAACCCAAATGCAAAAAAGCACTAGTTTATTAAAAGTCCTCTTTTTATACAGAAATCTCATCCTGCAGCCAAACTTATTTTTCCTTTCCACCCTCAGCGTAAGAACAAAGTCTCCTTGCAGAACCTCTCCATGGTGTTACGGCAGCTGCGCTCAGCTTCTCCCGATGAACATGCACAAAATGTGATGGACAGTGTGCGGCAAGCCAAGCTGGCTGTGCAGATGGACATGCGCGATGGACGCTCTTGGTGTGAGTTCTACTATGTAATCTATTAGCCTGTTCTGACCCAGCCTTTGCGAGCATCACTCAAATCACGGGTGGGATTCAATTTTTTTTAGCAACCGGTTCTTTGCCCAGTTGCTGCGTGGGCGTGGCCTACTCAGCTTCCTGCACAATTGGGGGGGGGGGGGGTTTTTTTTCCTCCCCAGGCTCCAGAGGCTTTCCTCGAGCCTCTGGGAGGGTGAAAATGGCCTCCCCCGGGCTCCAGAGGCCCTCCGGAGGCTGGAAACGAGCCCATTTCTGGAACTTTTGGGAGGCCCATTTTTCCCTCTCCTCAAGCTCTGGAGGCTTTCCTTGAGCCTCTTGGAGGGTGAAAATGGCCTCCCAAAGCTCCAAAGGCCCTGTTTCTGGACTTAACATAACTTTCGGGAGGCCTGTTTTTGCCCTTCCAGAGCTTCCGTGTGGTCTCTGCACTCTGCAGAGTCCCTACGGGAGTGGGCAGCATACAAATCCTAATAAACTTGAAAGTTGAACTTGAAACTTATCTGGCACCCAAAACAGACTGCGTGGAGATTCCTGTGAGGGGAGGGGCAGGGTGGGAGGAGCCAGCCACTTCTTGCAACTACTGATTCGGCAAACCAGATGTAAAATTAGCGTCCAGTTCGCCCAAACCGGTCCCAACTGGCTGAATCTCATCCCTGACTCAACAGCCTACTCATGAGGAGAAACCCATTTTTATTTAGAAAGGGTTAGGGCGCTTCGGTTAGCATTTCAATCCCCACAACCTGGGTTGTAGCAAGAAATCCTTACCAAGCAATCAGCCGGAGGGGAGTCTCCTGAAGCATGAACGATTGTTTCCGACAACTGCGCTTCCCACATCCGTCCTGCTTATCCCCAGCCAGAGAGAGGCTTGCCAATGTCTCCTTCATTTCCTGGATAGCTAGTCCTCAGTCCTATATTGCTTTCCTCTCCGCCTGTTCTCTGCGCATATGCACATCTGGAATGGGCCCCAGCTGTTCCTCCCAGTTGCTCAGGCCCCGAAAGCAGCTGTCTCTCCACCTGAGTGTGAGTAGAGGGCCCTGCATCTGGCTCTGAGTCCTTCTGCTTCCGGAGGCTCTGATGGTAACCCAGGGACTCCCTCTGCCTCCTCTGCCTCATCTAATTCTGCGGAGCTGGCAGTGGACGAATCACAACGTAACCCAAGCAGGGGATAGCGGGGGGGAAAGGGAATGGGATACGCAAAACTGGCTGATTTTTTTTTCCTGCATTCCACAGATGTGCTGGGCAATGCCTACCTCTCCTTGTTCTTCAATACGGGACAGAACCCCAAGATCTCCCAGCAAGCACTGGGTGCCTATGCACAAGCAGTAGGTGCTGGAGGGGGAACCGAGACAAAACTGTGGTAGGGGGAGGAAGGGATGGTGGTTCAAGTTAAGCCCCCTCTAGTAAAATTCTAGAGCAGCGACCTCCAAGCGGAGGGCGAGCACACGTGTGTGCAGCTCCATTTACGTGAGCAGCACAGATAAAGTGTCTACATGCACACTTGCTCATTGCTCACGCAAGTGGAGCTTCACGTGTGCGCTTGCTCACCCACTGATTCTGCAGCCCGGTTCCGAATGGGTCATGGCCCGGGAGTGGGCCACTGCCCGGAGGTTGGGGACCCCTGCTGTAGGGACCAGGTGAGAAGAGTAAATTCTGTGCGACAAGATAGTATGGATATTGGAAGATTTGAATTCAAATTCTGACTTAGATCCAGAATATACATTACAGGTAGTCCTTGACTTGCGACCATAATTCAGCCCAGAATTACGGTTGTAAATTCATACCAGTTGTTAAGCAGGGCACCATGTGACCAAACCTGATTTTTGCAAGTTTTTTTTTGTGATGGTAATTAAATGAATGCAGTGATCTTTAAATGAGAGTCGTGGTGGTGCAGTGGTTAGAATCCAGCAATATTGCAGGTTAACTCTTCTGCCCATAGCCAGAAGTTTGATCTTGACCCAACTCAAGGTTGATTCAGCTTTCCATCCTTCCAAGATTCTTAATACGAGGACCCGGACTGTTGGGGGGCAGTATGCTGACTCTGTAATCAGAGGGCTGAATTATTACAGAAGCAGCATGTAGGTTTTGTTATTATTGCTATTGTTAAGCGAAATAATTGTCCGCAATGGGTGTTTTTGAAGAAAACTGGAAGCATCGTCCATCATGGACACATTATTAGAGGATGCTGCAAACAGCTGTAAATCTGTGACTGCAGGAGATTGATGTTGAAACTTCAGATTCAGATTGTAAGTAGGTTTGGAGAAATCCAGCCTCATTTTGAAGTCACCAAGTGGCTGGTTGTAAGCTGAGACCTACCTGTTTGTTCTTCTCCTAATTGTATATTCTTACATCTTTGTCAGTATATAGGGCAGTGATGGCGAACCTTTTTTTGGCTCGCATGCCAAAAGTGGGGGGAATGCAGGGAGGTCGTGTGCAGGTGTGCCACATGCATAATGGTATGCGCGTGATCCCAGCGTGCATGCACGCACAACATTGTTGGTGTGTTTTTTTCACCTTCCCCAGGCTCCAGAGGCTTTATAGGAGCCTGGGGAAGCTGAAAATAGCCTTCCCCGCTCTCCAGAGATCCTCCGGAGGCTTCAGGAGCCTCCCTGAAGCCTCCGGAGCATGAAAAATCAGCCCTATGGGCAAACCAGGAGTTTCGGAATGGACTGCTGGTTTGTTCGTAGGGCTGTTTTTTGCCTTCAGGGGCTTTCAGGAGGCTTCCCTGAAGGCTCTGGCGGGCAAAAAACAACCCTACGAGCAAACTGGAAGTGACTTCCGCCTAGGGTCATTTTTTTGCCCTCCGGAGCCTTCAGGGAAGCCTCCTGGAAGCTCCTGAACGGTCCAGAGGACAAAAAACGGCCCTACTAGCAAACCGGAAGTATCTTCCTGAACTTTCGATTTGCCCATAAGGCTGGTTTTTCGCGCTTCTTTGTGTATATAAAGAAATTTCTTATATAAATGAATCCTGCTGAATTATTTACTTGTGTTTCTGGTTGGATTGCTGCAAACTCTTAACAATCTTGTCTACCAATATGCATGAATGAATGACAGTGTCTAGAAATAATAAAATGCACCATGGAACTTCAGGCTGTTAGGGAGAAAATTATTTATGAACACAGCTTTCTTTGCAAGCAGAAAACTTACATTCCTGGAGTTATCTGGCTAGAACTTTTATTTAATGGCACTAGTTTTGCACTTGTGAGGAAGATGGAATTGGAACAGTATTTTAAAATGCATAAAATTCTGTTAACTCATTGTGTTACATAGTATGCATCATCCTCCAGTTGTCCAGACTTCCTTTTTGCTGTTAAGAGGCCTAAAGAGTTCCCTAAAATAAGATTTGAAATACAGTGCTACATTGATATTCCATTAATTCAGCAGCAGTAAAATAGATTTTTTTTTTATTACCCTAAATGGAAGGGTGGTTGGTGAAGTTGACAGAACTTGTTGAGATGACTAAATTAACTTCGTCTTTGAAGGGGTTCTTGGTGTTCTCTGAGCTTTGTTGTTTTCTTGCAGACGTTTCATTACCAAATTCGGTAACATCATCAGTGCTACTACGGAGTGGGGTTTTGCCCTCATCTTATATTCTAGCACTGTGACGACGAATCTATGGTACATGTGCCCAAAGTGGCACACGAAGCCATGTCGGCTAGCATGTGTGGCATCACCTGTTCCTCTTCCGGGTTTCTGGTGTGCATGTGCCAATTAGCTGGTATTTGTGTGTGTGGCAGTGCGGGAAACCAGAAAGGCTGGTCTTCCATTTTCCACTGTGAGCATACACGCCGGCCAGCTGATCGGTGCATGCACATGCGCGGAAGTAACCGGAGGATTTGCTGGCTGGTGCCCATGTGTGTGCCAGAAACCGGAAATACTTTTCCGGGTGCGCACATGCCCCCTGGGAGTTTTTCCTCCTGGTCACAGTCCAGATGAGCGCACGCACAAAGTGCTTCATTTTTGGCACTCAGTACCAAAAATGTTCGTCATCACTGTTTTAGCATCATGCCCTGTGAGTGTTGGTGAGGATGATCTTAGAGAGTATTTGGTTGGGCTGTTTACTGTTTGGCAATTCCTTCATTTGGATATTGTTTACTTGATTTGTTGGTTTTACGTTAATATTGGAATTAATTTAATGCTTTTTCTGGATGCTGATTGCTGGCGGGAAGGTGCATTGGTCTTTTTGTTCCCTTTTTGGCTTGTTGATTGTCTCTTCTGCATAGTATGTAGATACTGTTGTGGCCCAGCAGAAGCCGTTGGAGCTGCCACCAGACTCTGACAGCGAGGGGCTCTATGAATCGGCTCTGGAGGATGTAGAGGACCCTGGACAGGGTTCCGACTACGAGCAGGGCGCAGAGGCTGGTTGGCCACCAGGAGGCACCTGAGCCTTGGACCAGAGGGGAGGAGACAAGGGAGAGTGAGCCAGACGCCAGTACTGAGTTGTTCCTGGATGCACATCATCGAAGAGCTAATAGGCGTCAGGAACAGTTATGCAGTTACAGGAGGTAATTGCACTCAGCAATTAGTCATTAGACTCCTCTCCAGACTATAAAAAGACTCCTTGTGCACACGCCCCTCTTTGCAGAAGTCAATGCAGGATTGAATGTCAGAGGACATTACTGTGAGCTT